GCTCTGCACCGTGGGTGCTTTCACATGTAATTTGTGATTGAATGCTTCAGATGCCGTTCCAACAACATTCATTAAGCCTTGAGTTTTCGTTGGCTTGGGCAGCGCCTGCGAGGTTAACCATCTTCCCCTCCGTTGCCACCATGCCCACGATCCCTTTGTCCCACGGCTGGCAAAAAGGCTCCTCAGTCTCTTTGGCCGCAGCTCAACTCGGGCGATGCGCTTGCATGCGCTTGCGTAGAGACTTGCCTTCTCTCCTCCTCTGTCCGACCTTCCAGCAGAAGCCCAGGCACCATGTCCAGGGAGCCAACACACCAAACTTCCTTGCGCATGTCATCCACGAAGAAGATGGAGCAACGGTCAGCATTGAGAACACCTTGCTCAATGGCTTGGGCTCGGTTGGAGGCTAGCCACTGACCAGTCGGGAATGCATTGCCACCTCCCTTGCTAACCTAAGCATCTAACTATGTAAGTTCACTACACTCACCTGGGAAAGCACTCACCTTGTGAAGCCTTGGTCATGAACCTTGTAAGCTTCGAATTCCCAGTCACAACGCGATCCCAACTTCAGCCCCGCGGGGACGAGTTGCGTATAACCTCTGCGATGATGGTCTGCAGGTAGTATTGCAAGCTGGTGTTGGGAGATGACAGGATCTTCCTCACACCGGAACACCGGAGATGGGACGAGCAGAGCCGAAATCCAGTCATTGGTGCTTGTTGGACAGCCGTGGTTTCTCCGCACATGCGTGCTGGGCAAAAGAGAAAGTAGGATTGCATGTCTTAAAAGCCATCGCAACACAGCCGCAAGAAGTCGACTGTCGGCTTGAACTCCATAATTCCTTTCTCTCCCTTGACCCAGGCCAGCCAGTCGCCTGAGCACGTGCACTCCGGCACATACTTGTTCCCGCATTCGGTCACAGTAATCACGCACGGCTTCCGCTTCTGCCGTTCGAACAAGGTCGATTAATCTGCGAGTTGATGTTTTGTCTTTCTTGCCTCTGCGCTGAGATATCAGATGCAACTTGACGACGAAGGGAACTCTAGACTCTGGCGCAAAGCTTCAGCGGACACTCCATCTCCGCATCTTAATGCTTTCCCTCGATTTGGTTTCACCCGTCACACCTGTAATCTCGGCATATGTCTTGACCATTCTCCAAAGCAAGACTCTCGAAAGGCTCAGATCTGACCGTGCAGGACAAGATGCGGAAGGGGCGCGGCCATGCTCCCTCATCCTTGCCTATACCTTTGTTGGAGAGAGGATTGGGTAGGCCGGGTAGGCTCTGCGCGTAGCTGAGACTCCTGCGAGTGCTTACATCAAGACTGCATTCACGAGCGTGTTACATGAATGCACATGCTGTAAAGGACGAGGAATTTGCGAAAGCCAAGAGTCTGTCTTTTGTGTCTGACCGGTGGAGTGAGCCTGCACCTGATCCCATTCGTCCTGCTTCAGTAGCAACACCCGCCAAAGGAGGTTTGCCTGGTGCCGGTAACGCTCTACACTGTCTACATCTTTTTGCTTTCGCGTCCTCTTGGCACGGGAGCCCATGCAGCTGCGGCTAGGCCAGGAATGCTAATTCTGAAGTTGTTGTCGTACTACTGCCGCCCATGAGCTGTGTGGTGTCCTACAGTGGGGCTTGGGATGGGCTTCAGGGCATGGCAAGGTTGCATCTGCTTCGGGATTGCAAGCTTAGGACCAAACAACATCTGAGTCCAATATGACACGCGACCAATCTTGACTGGCAAACGGCTTGTGAATCTCGCATCTACGCAGGCACTCTGCGCATCTTGAGGCTTTTATGCTTACAATGTCAGTCACGACAATTGGTGAGATCGGCTCACCTCTTCTTCCTCCACTGGTGCACTGCTTGATAAACTGACAACTGAGCTTGGATATGCCAAGGAATATTCCAAGAAATATCACTCAATGGGCATGTTCCCCTCAGCTTGTTCTCGCTCACAGGTGCTGCGGGAGAAGGTAAAGGAAGCCCCGGGCCTGCAAATAGCTGCTGCCCAGCTGGGCAACTTCGGATCCTGTGAACTTCGTCAGGAAATCTCTGGAAGTATGCATCAGACAGCGATGCTCTTCGAGCAGGAAGTGTCTATACATCTATGAAAGCACCAAAAGCGTAAAGCCTCACACCTTAACGCCCTTTCAACCAAGTGAGAAAGTGTGCACGCATTGCCTCGAAGATCAAGCTCGCTTTTAGCAGCGGAGTGCTCGGCCCTCCAAGCAGCAACCGTGCAGGGAAATGTGGTTTCAGGGGTTCGGGATTTAGGGTTTTAGTGTTTGATTGAGGCTGAGGATTTTGGGGGCTTTTGGGTTTTCGGATTTTGGAATCTGCCCGAGTGAGGCCCTTGAAGCCTTGCGGAAATGCCTGGATAGATCTCTTTCTCCGCTTCGAATGCGTGATAGTTTCCTTCTTGATGGGCCCTTTTCTCCCAGCTGCGGCCAGTGTCCGCTCTGCCTTGCTGATGTAGTCTATATTATAACAGCAGTTTGATCTCACACAGGCACTAAAGGTTCTCAAGCATTTCTGCAGACAGTTGCATTGTCGGATCTGCACTGCCGAGGGCAAAGCACCAGGTCAGAACCCTTGGAAGCCGAATACAAGCACTGCATACAAGCGCCGATCATGGGAAGTACAAGGGTAGGCGGAGCCTCCACTATCGCATTGTCCCGGTGCAGTCTCTGCGACCTGCACTTACGGATGAGAAGGCTGCTTCCCCAGTTGCTCTTCCCCGACAGGGAAATGCTCAACCCATTGACTCAAACACCCGCAGAATTTCAACGACATCCGCTCGAGTCGCTGGAGAGCCCAAAGCAGTGGCCACAAATCAAATCACCAAACCCAATCCGGCAGCACCGATCAACGAACGGCTCGTACACGCCTGGCATAGACCCGCCTATGCAGCGTTCGACATTATCGATATGTCCAAGACTGAGAGGAGCTAGAACGTGAAAGTTCAGCAGATTTGCTACATCGGGCAACCGGAGCCTCACTTGATGGCTCGACGGGTGTATGCAGCTTTTCCTGCAGAAGGCCAAGCAATCCGAGTGTCGCGCTGAAGGATTGGATCCACTGTGTGAGGGTACAATGGCGCCTAACTTCGCTGTTGATAGACATTCTGGTATCGATACGTGCCAGCTTGACACCGTCACGCACGGTCTCTGGCACGAGCGGTACAGAACTCTGTGTGTTGTCGCCTGCACGAGGGCCGGCTGCTCGCCACTGCTGCTGTCAAGGAGATCCTCAGCTTGGAGGAACCGTTCAAGGCCCAAGTCCGGCGAGAGAACATTTCGCGCTGAGCTGAGGTGATCGTGCGTTGATGAAATGCTATGATCAGCATGCCTTGCATCATCGAAGCTGGACGAAGGGCTTTTCAAGAACTAAGAAACCCGATTCTCTGATCGAGTTTTCGAACTCTTTCCACCTTCTGCGTGTGGTCTCGCTTGTAGCGCCGGGCTTCCAGCATAGCCGTGATCCTTCGGATCCTCGCCTCTGCATGTGGCTGTCAAGCGTGCCCCCCGCTTTCCCATCGTCAAGTAGCCAGGTACTGCAAACCAGCACACCCGAATCAATGCCTGTGCGCTGTCAAACCCCTCTCGCCTGCATCAGCTTCTGCACGTACTTGACGTCAAAAACCCGAATCAGAGGTAAACCGTTTCTGAGATCGCACGTCCAACAGCTGCCCTGACATCCCGATGTTTCCCGGCAGCGAGACCTGTGCTTTCCTCTTCAGCCAGCAACGGTGACCTGGCGCGGGTGAGCAAAGTCTGGAAAAGTGCAACCGTCTGCAGATGTCTGCGTATGCGTGTGTGAGAGAGAGAGAGAGAGAGAGAGAGAGAGAGAGAGGGACGGAGAGAGGGAGACAGTCGTCATGTCTGGCATTCTGTGACCAAACCGGGGTCCGAGCCGCTGGAGGCCTTGCGAAAGAGCAAATGGCGGAAACTCTGCACCATCACTGGGAGAAGCTTTCATGTAGAACTGCGCTAAGAAGAACCGTGCTGAAGCCACGCCTCCTCGAAGCCCAAACCGGAAGCCTTGATGATGGCTTGATGGCTTCAGCTGCCAAGCACCGGGCTATCCACGGTTCGGAGGGCGTCCATGACACGCGCAGACGGATACCAGGTCGAGCCACCTCGCAAGAACGGCTTGCACCCCACAACGAAAGGTTGCCAGAATCTAGTTTGTGGTTCGTTAGTTGCCCGAGAAGCGACTGCTTGATGTAAGCTTTGGCGGGTTGGATGATGTCTGTCGCCACTGCACGTCGGTCCCTGCCTGTTTCAGGAGCGACGGTGCTGCCGGCAGCAGTAGATACAGTGCCTTGGATTCGAGCAGGGCCAGCACACATCCAACCAGAAGACGGCGATCTGTCTGGCGACTCCGGAAGGACCGTCTTCGTGTGATCCACCCGCTGCTTGGTCGTTCCCCTGTCTTGGGCGCTGGCTGATGTTGTCTGTGCTGCCTGTTGCCTTCTCACATTCTCACTTCAAGGGAGTGACATCGCACGAGCTGCAACCCTCAGGTCGTGGTATGCAGCCACTTAGATTCATGCCTCGCCTCCACCAGCCTAAGCCACGAGCAAGCGACTGGCCTTGGAAGCTTCGGAGGACTTGCTGGAGCTCCTTGAGGATGCGATCTTCCTGCGTGGTTCACTAGGCTGTCTGCCAGATCCGACGCAACAAGGACTCAGGCATCGCATCGTTCCACTTGCTCGTTTACTTAAAGATTGCGATATGCATGCAAAAAGGCGAGTGGCGTTGGCTTCGGCGCTTCGGGAAGAGGAGTTCCCCGCTCAGCACCTCGGGGTCTCTTGCAATCGTTACGTTAGTCCACCCATTTATCTTGCACAGGGAGCCCAAAGCATTTACCACACATGCTTGGATTGCCAGGCCAGTAGAGTAGTAGTATGCTAAACCTCCCTCCTCCGCCGCAAGGGCATGGTGGGAGAAACGACGTCCCGTTGACAAATCCGCGGACTTTGCCCCGTGCAGTGGCCCTTTACGAGCTCTTCGAAGTCTGCAAAGAGGTTCAGCAAAGCCTGTGCAAGCAAGTTCATGCCGTCCAAACCTCAATGGCCATGCAGCCGCGAAGCACACCTCCTCAACGGAATTCCGATCTCGCGGGCTACGGCCAAGTGACTAAGTGTCTCGTAAATCTGATGCTGAACCGACTACTGGCCTGGGGCACCGCAGGGATACTGTAAGGCCTCAGCGTCACGACGCAGCTGATGTTTCAAGTATCGTTCTGTGGTTCGAAACGAGAAGTAAACGAGCAGCAGGCCAAGTAAACGAGCAGCATGCCAACCCTATGTTGTCATGTGTTCTCTAGAATGGATGCCGCATAATGCGGCTCTTTTCATGACAATTCATGACACAGGAGCACTGCGACAACTACCGATAAGGGCTGCGCGGGGCGAGCTCGGCGTAGCCTGCACATCGCAATTGGTGGCCTGGCTTGCCGCATCTGCTGCTCTATCCTCCGATTCTGTCATCATCTAAGACCCAAGATGCCTGAGTTCGGATCCTTTACTTCAAGGTGGGAGCGATGCGCTGGGAAGAAGATGCATAAGAACCAGCTTGCAGCCCCAAGTCAAACATTTCCGAAGAGGCAGCCTGCGGTGCCCCTTGCTTGCACTGTAAGTGTGGCCCGCAGTGCAGAGGGCCACAAAGTCGCACATGGAGCTGTGGAACCGCACAAAGCGAGGCCTCTGGACGATCTCACCGAGCTTTAAGTAGACTCGTCGGTCACCATAAAACACTTCGGCTACGATGACATCGAAGGACGCCGGCATGGAAGCTGACTTTCCTAGATGCTCACCGGATAAATCAC